TCCTGCTGACAGAGCTGCTAGCTATGGTGTCTTGTCAGGCATGATGAACATGTAATCTGGAAGGAAAAAATGGAAAGCCCAAACCAAGAAAATCTCTACCAATACCACCACCGCCCCAACTGCCAGGCCCCTCACACAATACCATCTACAATTTGTGAGCTGTGGCCCACTCTCTAAGGAATGCTTTATTACTACACACGGTGCCTTCCTAAGCCAGCAACAGCCAGATTCAGGGATTTGTTCACCTTGCCCAGCACCCAGACAGAGCTGAAGGCCCACAGGTTCTTGGTAACGATGACGAGGGTGGGGATTTCCTCGTGCCGTGATCTTCCCTCCACTCCATCCTTACCTTACTTTCCTTTCAGTCTGTCACCCTTTTCTGAAGGGAAGCTCTATACAGACCACCATCTGGTCTAAACTGCATTCACTGCCTCCGCCCTGCTCAGTCTATCTGGAATCTGAGCTAGAGCAGGGGAGACAGAGATCAGCCTAAGAGCACAGAGGTTGGCCCCTCGATCTATTTCCCGCGTTGCCTTTCTACTCTTAAAAATGGAACGGGAAGACTGAAAGAAGATCTGTGTCCCTGTGGCCTTCTTAAGCGAAAGGAGCAGAATTTGTGTCTGGAGTCCCATGACTCCCAGCAGTTTTTCCAGCCTCGGTTTCTGGAACCCAGTGTTCCCATTATTGCTAGGTTAACAGAAATCTAAAGTGTCAAGGTGGATACACACGCGACGTCCCTCCCCCTGTTTATACTTATAACAAATCATTTGCTAAGTACAAATTCTATTGTTTATGTAATACGAGATGCATGAGGTAAATATGCAAAAATAAATATGGTGGAGAATAGCCTCAAATAGCATCCATTTTATTTTCTATCACTATTTCAGTTCTGATATTTGATTTAGAGATATTGCTTTCTACCATGCTACCTTTATTCCAAGTTAAAGAAGAAGAAAACCACATCTGTTCCGCTAAGCCATCTCTAAAGTACTCAGAGCCGTCCTAGTAAGGGGCTCAGAAAGAGCCAGTAAAATGACAACAGAAAAAAACAAAAAACAAAAACAGGGGCCAGCAGGTGATGTGATGGTTACGTGTTGGAATTCCCACACGGCCGACTGTGGTTCAAATCCTGGATCTGGTGGCTTGCTTTCTCCCTCTGTCTCTTTCTCTGGCAAAACTTATGTGAGCAATAAATAAATAAATAAGATAAATAATTATTTAACAACAACAACAATGGAGTGATGGTGAGATACACAAGAACTTCCTTGTGCCAGGCATGGAAGACGGGAGGGGCTGGGGCTTGCCAGCAGTCGGGACTGCATGTCTACACCAAGTTCAAGGAAGATGGTCTACACAGCTACAGAGGGAGGTGATGCAATGGCTAAAAGGAGAGAGTTTAATGCTAGGGCTTAAGCTGGCCCTTCAAGGTGAGCAAAAGGTCATTTTCCATCAAAATAGTACAATCAAATCTCAAAAGTAAGAGCAGGCTTTAGAGACCATGTTTAATCCAATTAGCCAAATCCTCCTTGCTTCTTTTCTGAGTTGCCCTGGCTGAATGAGGAAAGGTCTGGAATCAGTGAAAGCTTAATGGAG